TATGACTGGGTAGGAAACTGCAAATATCACTTCCTAATTAATATATGTCAGTTCACAGTCAGGCTGAACTTGGTGAATTCTGATGACTGGTCATTGTTACCAGTGCCGCTTATTATTTACTACTGTGCAAGTATCATTATTATCCCCATTTTTATAGATGAAGAAACTGGGACATAAGAACTGTCATCTAACATTGCCCCAAAGTCACAGAGCTGGTAATTGGCAGAGCTAAGTTGAGAGGACCATCCTTCCCCTAAGGTGAATCCTTTTAAACTCCCAGAAAAAAGAAATACAACCCTTGCCAGGTAACTACTACATGCCAGGCACTCAATGATGTTTTACACACATTATTCAAATGAATTCTTCCAACAGCTCTGAAGGAGACATTATCTCCTTCTAAGTGCTAAGGAAACTGTGGCCGTGGAAGGCGACCTCCCTGGACCACGCAGCCTCGGGGCACGACACCTGTCCCCTGCCTTGTCCAGCGGCCCCAAATGCTCTCTGGCTAACACAGGCCACAGAGCCAGGCCAGGCAGGGCTGGCGGGCCACGGAGGTTACAACCCCCTCCCCCGAAAACCAAAAGGACTTCTGATGCCCCAAACTTTGCAGCAAATTCAAATTCTCAACTACAGACATCTGAACATCATTCAAAATCTCACTTACACTTTTGGGCTCCGTTGAAGAGGGCTCGGTCTTTTGGGGTATCACCAACTTCAATTATTTTGGCGCCAGCCAAGAGCTGCATGATGAGGCCGGAGGTGACAATGGGAGAGATACCCAGCTCCATCAATGTGCCTTAAGGAAAGGGGGAGGCAAAGTACAACCGAAGTTAGCATGGAGAAGCAAGACATTATTAAGAAAATGAATGAGCGAAACTGGACTGTGTGCCCCTGATACAAACCCAGTGTTTCAGTTTGCCAGCAGTATTTAATCCAGAGAATAACCCCCCAATATCAGCAATCAGAGGGTAATTCAATTCATTCTGTTCAGTCTGCCCGGTAACATCTTATTCTGTTTAGGGAATCACATGGCATTTAAACTGATCGCTGCATTTAAATTCGCCGTAAACAGATTCATGCTGTTGTACAGAGATAAGAAAGGTTCGTCTCTTCATCAGTTAATAAAAAAGGATAACACTCAAATAATTTCCAGAGTCTGGAAAGGAGGCCAGTACAATTCTATCTAGTTGTGAATAAACCTCTATTTCCATTATGCTAAAATGGGCTACACTTCCAACTGATTTGGAACTTAATTTGAAACGTATTTTAAAAATGAGTTAATCAAAAGCAGTTATCAGCATAAGCATTCAAAATCCCGCCTCACCCCAAGGAGGTAACTGGTTGGAGTATACAATACACTGTTATATATTTATTTTTTTTGCACATGTATATGTAACCTGTAGATATGGAAAAGACGCAGCTGAGAAACAAATTACATATTCTAAAGAACGTTATCAAAACAGGAGACAGGTAGAAATGTCATCATTTCAGCTGTTTAAAAAGCATTCTGGTTTTTCCATGTTTTAAGAAATTCTCTATGATGTAGACTTATCTTGCTGTTACAGGTTTTGTACTGCATTCAGAGCAATTCTGAATAGGACGACGTGCCTGGGTGCTGAAGCTGGCTTTTACTAAGGCTGTGTTTCAGCACAGCACGCTCTGAACCCTTTGTAAAGCCAAGGCCTGTACTTTAACTGAAGGAGGCCAGTGAAGCCCACACCGTACAGGGGATGCAGAGGGCCAGTCCTACCTCTGTTAGAGGCGAGGATCACTCTCATCCAATAGAAAGGGTCGGCTGAGTCTGAAGACATGATTCCAAACAGAGGGATCTGGAAACAAGCAGAGAGCAGCCTGCACACTCGTCTCCGGCCCCTCACACCCCCACCCCGACACTGGAACACCAAACGCGCGCTCACCTGGCAGCACACCAAGAAGATGAAGAGGGTGATGGCGGTCCATAACACTTTCTCCTTAAACTGAATCTACAGAAAAACAGAGCCAATTAAGGCAACAAGTTATCTTCATAAGTAAATTAACAGAAACAGCCTCTGATCAGACCCCTTTCTCTGCTCACCAGAGGAGCCCTCAACACTCCAAACCACGCACCAAGCGTAAGTACATGTATTGCGTGCTTTCTACGCACAAGGCACAGATGCAGAGACCTTCATGTGCATCATCTCATTTAATCCTCACACCACGGAACATTATCTTATTATTTTCCAACAAGAAAACTGAATCTTAGAAAAGCTAAGTAATTTGTCCCAAATCCCACAGCTGTAATGGGTTTGACTCCAAAGCATGTGCTCTTAACCATCAGCATGAACAGTTTAGGATCAGACCCAAGATCAAAGAATGTTGCAATAGAAAGGGATTCCCAAATCACACCCCCCTTTATAACACATGAGCAATGACTTCTCATTTGAAAAGGTTTTGTACCTGACAAAATCTTTGTTATTCTGGAGTCAACTAATTTGCAATCTGTGATTGTTTCTTTGTGTATTCTCCATGGATTTAGGGTAAAAGAATGTAATAAACACTAGAAGAGTGAAAGAGAGCTGCGTGTTCAACCTACTCACTAACTACTAGTAGCATCTGTTTAACTTTAGGATAGGTGACTATTCAGAGTCATCTTATGATGACCAATGAGCATCATTAGGGAAGTTGAGACCACCTGCCCAAGGCTCCTCTGCTCTAAAACCTAAGTGTCTTCACTAGCACCTGCTGCCTGCACAGCAAGAATGGCTTTAAAGGGCTTAAAAAAACACACAGCAATTATCGTGTGGACTAAGGATCTTAACATGGAAATACCTTGTGAGCAACGGTACTAAATGGACAAAATCGTGTTCTTAAAAAACACTCTTTTAAGCTGCAATCTGAATGAGCATGGAGTCGAAGTCCTGGCTCTGTGGTCAGCATGGGGCCGCAGTGCCTCCGTGTTGACCACTGTAGACAGGCCTCAACAAGACAAGCACACAAAGGCACAGATACTCCACGCGAAGTTGGGGTGAATTCACAGAACCCGTCCTCTGGTCATCTGATCCCACCAAGAAATCAGGAGGCCAAGGAGGGCAACACCACGTCAGGCTGACCAGTAACACAAGAAACTTGTATGGAAATGACTCTTTATGGGAAAAGAGTGGACAATTTTTACAAGACTCCTCATTTTTAAATAACCAAGTCTCCTCTCCTGGATGCAGCCAAATTCAACAGCAAAACATCCAAAACTGTTTATCCAAGTCTTGTCACTCTACCTCTTACCAGCTCGCCATCCACCTCCATCTCCTAGGCCAGTCCCATAGTTCACTCTCGACAGCAGAAGCCCCTCCACCGCTCTCACCCTCTACCCTACCCCAGAGCAGTTTTCTAATCTGTCCGGCTCCTAGGGCTCCCACTGCTCCCCACCCATCCTTTCCAGTCTATCAACAGTGAAGCACATCTAACACCCCCCGCCCCACCTCAACTGGTTTTCTCTGCCTTAGCGCACACTATATTTCTTACCCTAGAATTCCTTTCCCTTCCTTCAAGGACACTTCTATTCCTCCTTCAAGGCCGCCATCAGACATCATGTCTTCCAGGGTTAATCCCTTCTGGAGCCACTGCTGTACCCTGCACATACTGCCACTGCTTCATGCACCACGCTCAGCTACAAGGCCAAGGTCACACAGCTATCAAGAGGCTGTGTGAAGGGTGGGTGGGTCCCAGGCGCGCCTGCCTCCAGAGCCCCGCCATTTCTACCACACTGAGGGCACACACACACACAACTTTGCATGTTAGCCCGTCAAAGGCAGCACGTATGTGGGGCAGATGCAAAGAACGTGAGGACAGAAACGTATTCCTATTAATTCTCTGTAAGAACCCAATGAAACTTTTCTTCACGGTTTCATAGACTGACTTACACTGGCAACACTGTCTCGGCCTGAAACTGTGCAGCAGCAGAAATTCTGATAAAGATTCAACACAGCTCTACATCTCTACCTTTCCATGTTTTAATGCACCTGCTGTAAAAGCAGGGGTCACAAAATGCCCTTTTTCTCAGCAAGGTGACGGCCCACGGAAAAGGCACAAACTCGACCGTACAGAGTAAAGTGACTGCTCTTAGCTCCTGGTAGCAGCTGGATCCAAAAAGCATCTCCTAGAAGAAGGACCCGCCCACGATCAGCTTCTGCGGGAGCTGCAGCGGGAAGGAGGCGCCCAACCTGAGTACCTGAGGCTCTCGAGGCGTTACTCACTCAGGCCGGGATCCACCTCGGGACAGAGCAAACCCGAGGCTCTGCCCGCCCGAGTAACTTCCACGGAGGATGCTCCCATCGAAGCTCGGCGGCTCGGTGGAGGCTCCCACCAAGCAGGCCACCCGGACCACTCTCGGGGGAAGGAGGCGTCCACTCGGCGTGTTGGGGCCACTTTAACGGGGTGCAAGCAGTTTCCCCAATCCTTCCCCGGACTCACCTTCCGCTCCGGCTTCTGAATTTCGGGCAGGATGACACAGAAGGGCTTGATGACTTCCAGAAACTTGACTTTGGGGGGAAGAGACAAGAGTAAAGTTAGGGCTGGAGGACGCCGCGCCGCCCCGGGAAGCCGTCCGCGGGGCCAGGTGGGGCAGGGGCGCGGGCCGGGTGGGCTTCACGGCCGGAGGAGCGAGGTCCCGCCCGCGCCGGCCGCGTCCGGGCTGCCCCGAGGGACTCACTCGCCATGGCGGCGGCTGCTCGCCTCCGGGTCGGGCTCCAGCTCCGGCTCCGCTACGCTCCGACCGCGGCTCCGAGGCCGCCTGTCCCGCTCTGGAGCGCCGCGCCTCGCCGAGAGACACGTCAGTGCTAGCGCCCCGGCGGCCGCTTCCGCTTCCGCTTCCTGCCACGCGCTTCAGCCGCGCGCACCGCCCACGCCTAGACCACAACTCCCGGCCTGCAGCTGGGCCGCGCGGGCTGTCGGAGGGAGGGCCGGAGAAGCGGGGCGGGGCGGGGCGGGGCGGGGCGGGAGGGGCGCGGGGCACGCCGGGACGGGGTTATGCGCCTGCGCAGACTGAGCCGCGAGCGCGGGGCGGGGAAGCTCAATGGGACGCCGGCTTCACCCAGTTCCTTTCACGGCACCGGTAACTTGTTGCGCAGGTGTAGACAGTGAGCGCCTTGGGGCCGGCCTATCCCGGCGCCACCTCGGTGCCCGGAGCCCAGCAGGTGCGCGGCGCGGGGCCGACGGACACCCCTTTGAGGGCTCCTTGAGCGAACCTGGGGCCGGTCGGGGCGCTGGCCCCGCCGACAGGGGGAGGGGATGAGGTCGTGGTCAGGAGGCCCGGGGAGTCCAGGGAGGCCTCCCGGAGGAAACGTCCCGGGGGAGGAACTGTTGCGAGCACGGCAGCCGCTGTGCCTGCCCGAGATCTCTAGGGAGAGGATTCCTGCTTGGCTGGAGCCGGGGCTGTGTGAAGGGGAGGGATAAGACTTAACGTTCTTGGGGCCGGTGGGTGGGGCGAGGGGTGCCAGACGGGGCTTTTGAAGTTTATTTCCGAGGCACGTGTGATCACAGGTGGCACGTGATAGGTAATCTAAGGGAAGAGACCTCGTGCTGTCAGCATCTAGAGGAGGTGGGCGCCGCTGCCTGGGGTTAGGGGAGGTTCGTGGAGCGCAGTCTGGAGCTGTACCAGTCGGAGTTGGAGATGCCGATGTGGCCAGATGCTTTGTGCAGTATTAATTTAGGGATTGCTGTTTCTGTTTTTCCTTTCCCTCCCATTTCTAGCAGGTAGCCAGGATTTGTAAATCTTTGCCTCAGGATATTTTCTAAGACGGGAAGTCCTTTTGTGCAAGCCTAACCTATGGGTGGAAAATTCAAATGACTGCAGGAGGCGGGCAGGAACTTCAGTGAAGTGACCCAGGTGTGGCATCGCTGGATATGCATTCCTCACATAAAAAGAAAGTAAGCACGACTACTGTCACAGGGCTGATTCTGAGATGCAGCCCCATCTTGCCATCCAGGACCCCTTCTTAATCTCTTCTGGAGTTTTGACCAGAAGCTGAAACTGGCAGCCCTTCGACTCAATTCAGCAGGTAGATCAGAGCTGATGTTTAGCCCATATGCACCCTGCACGATACTGATGGTGAAAATATTGAAATGCTTCATGGTAAATAGTATCATTGTAACTGTACAATCACAATTAGCTAATGTAAATTTTCATATAAACTCGGGTTTGTACTGACAGTCTCAGGACGTTAGTACCATAGAAAAAGGGCCTTCTGTTGTAGCCACATCTGAGGAACATCTTGTGTCACTGAAGCGACGGTGGCTAAATTGCATGTGTTAAAACAAATTGCTTCAGGAGAATCACTAAAAATAACTTTGTTAGCATAGTGTAATTCTTTTGAATTACAGTAGCAGGCGTGCAGTGTATTTATACTTATACACTTAAGATTTGATTATAAATATTAAGAACAAATACTAAAGTGAAGAGGCAACAAAATCTGGATAAATTTTTAATAGTTTCATATATAATAAATGTGAGTCTTGTTAATCTGCAAAACAAAGAAGGAATTACAGTAGTAGTGAGTCCCAGCCTGGAACTTGTTCTGATACTGTGCAAGAATCTGCACAAAATAAAACTTGTATTAAATACATTTTATTACATAAAATCTGTATTTCTGGAGTGAAAAATGACGATTTTTTTCAACCAGGAATTTGTGTTAGTGCTAATGACAAATTTTTGGCTGCAAATAGTGCTCAAAAGTTATGTGTTAAAAGATGAAAGTGCTCGGCTTCCCTGGTGGCGCAGTGGTTGAGAGTCCGCCTGCCGATGCAGGGGACACGGGTTTGTGCCCCAGTCCGGGAAGATCCCACATGCCGCGGAGCGGCTGGGCCCGTGAGCCATGGCCGCTGAGCCTGCGCGTCCGGAGCCTGTGCTCCGCAACAGGAGAGGCCACATCAGTGAGAGGCCCGCGTACTGCAAAAAAAAAAAAAAAAAAAAAAAAGAGCGAAGTGCTAAACATGTATATTTCATCAGGATGCTGTTAAAACCTATGGTTCAAGTGAAAAAAAAATTTGTGGTCATTAATGAGGAAGAAATTTAAAATATAATCAGTTTCATATATTAAACATTTGTAAACTTAAAACTCCCAAAATGTCATCATAGTGAGGATAAAGCAGTCAAAAAGATACAGAGGAACTGTCGAAATTTTTAGCACTGTATAATTGAGCACTTCCATGAAAATATTTAATAGAACTTCTAAAGGAATTGTATTGATATGGGGGTGGGTACTATGGACTAACTTGTTACAAAACAGATGTATCTAATGAGAAAACTTTTTGGAAAACAAAGCAGTGCATTTTAAATCATCTTCAAGGAAGTTTCATTTGCTTCACATAAAAGTGTTTTAATAATTTGCTTAAAATACAAATTTCAGTATTTTGAAGATAATGGTTTTTGTTGATCTTATGACACTGGGAGCTGCATTTAATACAGTGTATTGAGCTTTGTTGGTGGGAAAAATATATATATACAATGGAAAGATACTTTTGTAAAAATAGCATTGCAATATTTTACAACTTTGAAAAGGTCATTGGATTTTGTACAAAAAGTGCCAGTGTAATAATGGTAGGAAGAGTCTGGAGTTTCAGGCAAAAGTTTAGAAAAAAATTTGGATATTTTAATTTGTCACTAAGTGATCAAATTTAATTTTGGATAAAGCAATACAAGATTTAAGTTAAGTAATTCTCATGTTTTTCTCAATAAATTGTATTTCTTACCATGCATCAAATAAATATCAGGAAGAACTGCAAATTAAGTACTGGAAATTGCACCTTGATGGACAGCTTGAAGTGCGAGAGCAGCAGAAGCAGTTTGGAAATCAGTAAGTTCTGTGTGTTCACTGTGATAGAAGCTGAAGTGCAGAGTTAGCCATCGAAGAATATAACTTTAAGAGTGTTTGTTGGCTTTAATAAAAGATGTTTTAATGGAAATATCAATATTTTAGCTTTATGAGGAAAATGTCATAATTATTAGAGCTGACATTATTTCAGTGGACTCTGGAATGATTGAACATTATCTGTAACGTAATGTTCAATCGTAATGTAATGATTGAACAATAGTTGTAAATTACTGTAGTCTGGTTAGGCTTCTATAACAGAACACCACAGACTGGGTGACTTCCAAACAACAGAAATTTATTTCTCATAGTTCTGGAGGCTGGGAGGTCAGGGCGCCAGCACGCCTGGGTTGTGGTGAGAGCCCTCTTGCACGTTGCAGACTGCCGACTCCTTGTGGCAGACAGCAGAGCAGAGGAAGCAAGCTCTCTTGGGACTCTTACAAGGGCTCTAAATCCTCATGACTTCCACTCTTATAACCTCATCTAACCCTAATTACCTCCCAAGGTCCCTACCTCCTAAAATCATCACATTGTGGGGGTAGGGGGGTAAGGCTTTATAACGTGAATTTTGGAGAGTCACAACATTTGTTTATGTTTGCATAACATAAACAAGTAAAGGAAACTTTGAAACGGAAGATACAGATATGAAAAGAAAGTAGGTACACTGAAACAAAATGAAGTATCAATTCCAAGAGAAAAACTATTGGATTGTCTAATCAATAATACAAAAAGGGTTTTGATGGAAAAATGAATGAACTTTTCAATTGAATCCTGAGATTTGGCTAACTGTTTTGTGAAGCTCCATGGATTGAGGTTGAGTACAGTAGCAAATTCAAGAAGTGATTTTTGTGACTTAGTTATAATAGAAATATTGAATATATAAAAGTCTCAGACTGTTTGACTTGCCTGGAGGTTCTCTGGAAGACCCCACTTGCAAAGCTGTCTTTATTTGACCTGACTTGGAGCTCAGAGTTCATCCAGTGCAAAAAGTCTTCTCCCCAGGGCATTTCTCAAAAACATGTAGAGGCAGTTGTTTAACTTCACAGCTGCCTGAGGCAGTGAATAATGCTTAGGACAAACAACAGGCTAGCCAAAAAGCTGAAAGGGAAAAACTGGGGAATGGGCATCCAGGGCAGCTTTGAGAAGCCCCAAAACATCCTGCTCTTCTAGAACGCCACACGCACAGGTAGAGGAGTCACGTGCCCAAGGCTGTGACATGCTCGGGAAAGCCCTGGGAAGGCCCTGAGCTCTCATTGGGCCAACCTCCAGGCTCCCCACGGCAGGAAGTGAAGGCTTAGGCAGAGTTGTCCAGTGCTGGGCCCCTCAGCACACACTGGGAGACTTGCTGGGCCTAGAGGCTTAGGAAATGCCTGTCTTATCACTAGCTGACCACTAAGCTATCTCTGCAGAGACTTCAGTGGTCACATGTGCCTTTACAGAATCAGTTCAGATAAATCATGAAACGAACAGCGACAAAAATAAAAGGAAACCTTGGGGAGGGGAGAGAATCTGATTTCCAGAGTTGTTACATTACATTGCTTAGAATACCCAGTTTTCAACAAAATATTTTGAAACATGCAAAAAAAGAAAAAGAAAAGAGAATATGGTCCATACACAGGAAACAAAAGCAATCCATAGAAACTGTTCCTAAGGATGTGCAGACGTTGGACTTACTAGACAGAGACTTTAAGTCAGCTGTTTTAATTAAGCACAGAGTTAAAGTAAAGCATGTCTAGAGAATTAAAGTGTGAGAACACTGTCTCACCAAACAGAGAATATCAATAAAGATAAATTAATAAACAGGAATTTGGGAGTAAAAAAATATAATGAGTAGAAAATTCACTAGAGGGCTCAACAGCAGATTTCACTAGGCAGGGGAAAGAATCAGACCTTCAGGATCAATTGAGCTTACCTAGAGGAAAAGAAAAGAGAGCAAACAACGCAAAGCAAACAGGAAGTATATGACAATTGCTAGTATTGGTGAGCATGAGACCTACAAAAGGGGCTCAGTTTGGTGCAGTAGATAGTCTTTCTTGAAGGGGATCATGAGGTGTATTTTATATACACTTAGATTCCCATTATCCCAATAATAACAACAAAGTGTGTTATTGGTCATGGGCTAAACTCTGGACTCCAGAACATTCTGCTGGGATGTCTATTATTGGTAGCAGTTATATTGCAAACAGTCCTTCGAGTTGTGTGCAGTTACCTTCTTTGTCCTCTCTGTAAGACCTTCATTCCTTCCTAAGAAACCACATTTAAAGTCCAAATGGGTTCAATCTGATTTATATAAAAGCAAATCATTACTAACAGATTACTCACTGCACTTTACTGTAATCTAGTCACGTACATAATTTTGTTTTTTACAACATGACAGTTAAATCCTGTTGGTCTAGAAATATACTTACTAGAAAATATTCTTCCATGTTGAGGGAGAGATGAAGTGTTTCTTCAGGAGTGAACTATACTTCCAAATCTCTTTTGATGAACCCGGGGCCAACTTGTATGCGTCTTCTTGGGGTTCAGCTTGGATGGACAAAGAAGCTAGATGGCGGACATGACCAACACAACAGTCAATGAACATCGACTAAGACAGCAGTTAAAAACAGTATCACCGGTAGGGATTGAGGGTAGCAGGTAAGGTGGCAGATTCAGGCCCAGTTCGCAATTAAGCTCATGAAATGCAAGATTTGGTGGAGCAGTTGAACTGCAGGACGGATGGAGATGCTGCTGGGCCTTGGGACACCTAGAACCAGAGGCCAAGAGCCACTGTTCCTCACCATTGCATGTTTCTGCTCATAAAGTTCATTCTTTCCTATTGCATTGTCTTCCTTCATAAAGCAGGAAAAATGGATGTCCATAACTTAGGAGTTTCAAGTCTTCCTGTGGGGCTCACAAGTGCAAATGCTTTCTGGGGTCAGGGGAGTACCATAATTGAGTGAAGGAAGCTGGGTATGCAGTGCGGGGTGGGGGGGGCCCCATGGCAAACTGAATCCCAAATTCAGCCTTTGGATTTTTCCAAAGAGGCCTGGCATCTGTGTTCAGGTTTCCAGCCT